AAAAAACATTAAAATACATATCTAAGGGTTCATTTTCCTGACATCACATTATCTGACCTTTTCCGCTTGACTCATACATATACTGGATATTGCAAATAAGGGAAACCATGGGACCTATGTTGTTGGGCTGGCTTTGAACCGCAATCCTCAGATCTCAGCCTCCCGAGTGGCTAGGATTAAAGGTAAGAGCCACCAGCACGGGCTTTGGAATCTCTTTTTATGATATATATATATATATATATATATATATATATTTATGATATATATTAATTGATTTATTGTTGGTTGTGGAGTTTAACTAGGGCCTGGGCACTGTCCTTGAGCTCTTTTGCTCAAGGCTAGTACTCTACCACTTTGAGCCACAGCGCCACTTCTGGTTTTCTGGTGGTTAATTGGAAACAAGAGTTTCAAGGACTATACCACCTGGGCTGGCTTCAGACTGTGATCTTCAGATCTTAGCATCCTGGGTAGCTAGGACTATAGGCATGAGTCACTAGCACCTGCCTATGAAAACTTTTATAAAGGAAGGATGTGCTCATAGTCTTTCTATTATAGCAATAAAATAATCTCAAAAGATCCCAGACAGGACAGTAGCATAAATGATAAACTGCTTCTGCTTCTTCTTCTTTTTTTTTTTTTTGTCGGTCGTAGGGCTTGAACTCTGGGCTTGGGCGCTGTCTGTGTGCTCTTCAGCTCAAGGTGAGTGCTCTACTGCTTGAGCCACAGCACCACTTCTGGTTTTCCAGTGGTTTATTGGCAATAAGAGTCTCACGGAATTTCCTGCCCGGGCTGGCTTTGAACCATGATCCTCAGATCTCAGCCTCCTGAGTAGTTAGGATTACAGGCATGAGCCACTGGCGCCCAGTAAACTGCTTCTTAAAATCAGCATAGTTCTCAGACATCTGCCTGTCCTCACCCACTAAAAGATTTTCAAAGGAACAAAGTAATACCTAACATGTGAATGTACCATCACAAGAGATAACACCTGGAGCCAGCTGATAAAGGCTCCTTTATATATAAGGTAGGAAAAACTATTTTCAAAATCTATTCCCTGCCAAAGAGGAATCAAAAAGAGGAAGGAAAAAATCCTACAATTGGGGATTTTTTAAAAAAGAATAAATATCTCTCTCTAATCTAAACAGGATGGGCAATCTGGCTCTGTCCATCTCTTAGGCCTCTTTCCCACCACACACTGCCAGGTTTATCTTCCTGCCAGTCACCAACACCTGCTTTTCTCTAAATCTCGTTTCACTGAGATGGTGATAAATGGTCACCTATCCAGGAAAGAACTCTGGCTAGTGTTGGGAATATCTGGCCTGTCAGTACTGAGGTTTGAACTCAGGGTGTTGTACTACCTGAGCCATGCTTCCAGCTGGACTTTTTGCAAGTTGATTTGGAAATGGATGGTAGCCAACTTTTCTTCCTTGGCAGACCTCAAAACCATAGTCCTAATCTCAGCCTCCTGCTAGTTAGGGTTATAGTTGTGAGCCGCTGGCATCTGGCTCTGCCTTTTACTTTTCTTGGTGTCAGTTAACAGTTATCAAAACTTGGATGGTCCATTTATATCTTTATTGCCTGACTCTACTCGGATTAAAACTGTATGAATGGAACAACATTAGCTCACTGTTCTAGGTCCTAAAAAAGCACATCATTAGCTCTTATCAAAAATACCTGCTGAGTGATAGAAAAAACAGAATAGGTGAAGCCTATGTTAAAACACGTCAAAAGAGGCAGAAAATATAAAGAACTGACGATGACAGCTAGAATTCCGCTAACATAAGTTGATGTGAAGAGGCCTATTTATATTTGTGTATTTATAATTGATAATCTACCCGAACATATACATATCCACAAGCAAATATACATATATCTGTGTACTTAAAAATATAAACAGGGAAGCCAGACAGTGGCTCGTACCTGTAACCCTAGCTACTCAAGGAGGCTGGATCTGAGGAAGGGGGTTCGAAGACAGCTGGGGCAAATTATCTCCAGTTAACCAGTAAAACGCCTGAACTGGAAGTGCGGCTCAAGTGGTTGTGTGCCAATTGTGTGAAACAAAACTACCTACACGCAAGGTTACTCGTAAATATTTCGTATAGTCCTTAAGTCTGCCTTTTCTCAGGAAACTGCCCACTGCACTCTCCCTCCCCTCCTCGGGGTACAGCGTTGATTTCTGCGGATTCTCGGGGAGGGCACTGAGCTCGCCCTCCCTCTTTTATAAAAATGTATTCTTGTCGCTAGTTGATTGGCGGTCGCGCCCCAGATTTTATCTTTCATTGGCCTACCTTCCAGTCCATCACTTCCGTGCCCAAGCATTCTATTGGCCCTCTGTAACTGACCTCCGACTGCTGGCCAAGCTGGGGCGGGAGGAGTTCCCCGGTGACGTCAAAGACGTGCCCCGCCCACATTCCGACACCTGGGCGGAGATTTCCCAGGGCTCTGCTTTTGTGGGCGGGGAGAATCGGAGAGAAAGACTTCTGATTGGGTCCTGCGGGCCAGACAGGCATGTGATTGGTCACTGCTTTTGAGGGAGGTGGGGCCGAAGCTGGGTCCTACAGCGAAGCTGGGGAGCCCTGGGGAGTCTCAAAGTTTGTGTCTGGAGCGGCTTTGAGAAGGGATTTTCTTGGGATGCGTGCTGATCTGTTGCCTTCCCTTTGGATGCACATCCCGCGCTAATCCCTGCAGCCTCGGGTCGGAGCCCTTGCGAAGACTTGGGTCCTCCCGAAATCCTCAGGTCCTGTAGGCAGGCAGGGGACACCCGGAGAAAGAGATCCTAGCGTTTCCACGGCCGCCCCGGCCCTCCGCATCCTCCGCCCGGCCCGGCGCGGCCTCTTCTGCCCTCAGCACCCTCGGCCCCGCGGCTTCCACCCCCATGGAGGTGCTGGAGAGCGGGGAGCAGGGCGTCCTGCAGTGGGACCGCAAGCTGAGCGAGCTGTCGGAGCCTGGGGACCCCGAGGCTCTCATGTACCACACGGTGAGCCCTGGGCGGCGGCGGGGGCTGAGGGGCGTTGACGTGTGTGCGTGTGCGTGTGTGTGTGCATGTGTGTGTGCGCGCGCGCGCGTGTGTTGTCATCGGAGTTGCAGCTGGAGAGCTGGGGATATGGGGGTAGGATCCATCTGGAAAAGGGGGCCTGGTCCAGAAATGCAGCCACCTGGGGGAGGGAGAAGGGTCTAGTTGGTATTTGAACGGTGCAAGTTGAACAGCTGGCGCCTCGAAACTTCCAGACGAGTGCCATTTTTGTATTCCTTTAGTAAATACTCTTCCCTGAAGTAGTTGTTGTTGTTTAAAAAACTCTGTAATCTCATTTCCTATTGCTAACGGTACTGTAAGGAGGGGAAAGGGAGTGTGTTTTGAGAATAATGCCTCTGCTTAGTTTGCTCTTTACAAAAATAGGGTCACGAACGGGTTTCAGTTCCACATGTCATTTTTGTTGAGTGCCACGCATCTTAATCAGTGGCACCCCTTCCACCGTGCTCCCCCACTCTCCCAATCCCACCCTTCCCCTCGATTTAGTTCAGACTACTTTATTTTCTAAGAGCTTCTGTCTTTCTTAAAGATGCCTTAGATTTCAGCCTAGTATCTTCACAAAATCAAGGTATAAAAATCAACTTCAGAATGCTTCCTTAGGAACAGATAGCCTGCAATTGAGTACCAGCATGAATAGCTAATAAGCCTGCTCCAGGATTTGTCTTTTTACAAAATCGTTTCTTTACTATCCTTACGTAGTTTATAAAGAGGTTTCAATTCAATCTATCAGTGTGAGTACAATGCATCTTGATCAGTGTCATCCTTTCCATAGTTCTCCCCATCTCTCCCAACCCCAAACACTCCCTCAGTTTAGTTTGCCTTGCTTTTTGTGGAAAGTTTTTTTTTTTATTAGCCAAGCTAAAGTAGAATTTTCTTTCCATCTGTTTTATGTCTTTCTTCTTCCTCCTCTCTCCCTGATTACTTTCTGATTTCCATTTTAAACTGTATGCTGTGTCTGGGTGTGTTGGAAATCCTCCTCCACCTAGGAGGGAAGCCTCTTTGGCATCTTAAACTGTAAGGCCAGGAGATCTGTTTCCTCAGTCTTCTGAGGAAAGGCCTGCAGACAAGTATGGAAAATCTGAGGTGGCTCCATTTTTTCAGACTGACTTTCAGCAGGAAGGTGGGGTCAGCTCATGAATTCCTAATTCTGGCTGTGTCCCCAAAGACCTCACCCACCATGCACATTTCTCTGATGAGAGTTTTCAACTTTCTAGGATTAAATTTGCAGAAAGGGGATTTTGTTTCAGAAACCAGCATTGATAACATTACTTTGTTCAAGATCTCATTGAAGTTGGGGGAGGGAAAAGGGGAGGGAAGGGAGTGAAAAGAGGAGGCCCGGCTATTTTCTTTTGGGGTTCTTTCAATGGGTTACCACCAAGATATTCGAAACTTTTGCAAAATGGCCAGCAGGCTCCACCTCTGGGGTTTTGCTGCTAGCTGACTGTTATTTTGGGAAAAGGGATGGGGCCTCTGTACTGATTCTCACCCCAGCATTTGTGTAGATGAGAAGGGTTTGTGTTTAAAAAAAAATGCAGTGTTCAGAGTTGAGAGGGTATAGCAGTTCATGTTGGGGCAAAAGCCAGATGTTCAATGTAGTGATCATATGCGCTTTGCCCATGGAGCGGCTCGGAGGAGAACATGTGGGCTGCATTTGGATTGAGGGCCTAGATGTGTAGCCTGCCCTCTGAGGAGCTTGGAGCATATTAGCCCACAAATGGCTAGTGATGAGTGGGTGCTCCAGATATTTTGGTAGACAGGAGCTACATCTTAGTTCTTCTCTTTTGTTCTTCAACCTACTGATGCTTTACAAGGGAAAATGTCTCATCCAGCAGCCATCATGCTCTTTGAGCTGATGGGATGGATTATGCACTGACACCCATGGGGCTCTTCCTGGACTCAGTGTCTTGTACAGGAGATCACAGGTCAGAGTTGGAGATGCTACCTGTGCCTGTCATGAACTTCAGGACAAAACTAACAACTTTATGAAAAGTTGCAGGGGAACAGACCTTGTATTTCTTAGGTTGTCTGTTGTGGTAAAGCACTGAATATAGGATTATTTTCTTCTAATCCTTTTCTTTAAAAAAAAGCAATTATGTTCTCTACTTAGAGAAGTGTCTCACTTCTGAGCTGTGCACTCGTAAATTACCCCCCCCCCATTATTGCTGCTAGTATGTGTGAACTCGTATGATAAGAATATATGTTAAAAGAAGCATTGGATTTAGTAACACAGACAACTGGATGGTATTCCTTTGAACTAAGGGGGATTTGGCAGAAATGTAAGCATAGGTAACTTTACCCTCTGTTGTTTGACCTCTGTTGGGGGTTGAGGTGCAGAGCTGGTTATGATTGCCATTTATCCATGATGTAGAGATGGCCTGGCCTTTGGCTGAATCCCTGTGTGGAAAACAGTGGCCAGATTTTATTATGCATTCATTCAAAGATAGTTATGCTTTCAATTACTACTTGTTGAGTATTTTAATATTTATTGACTGTTCTAAGCCCTTGGGATACATCAATGAACAAACTCAAACAAACATTCCTGACCTTGCAAAGCCTACATGTGTGTGTAGGATGTGTGTGTGCACATGCACACACACATGTGTCCGTGTAGGTATCTGAGTATGTGCACACTTGTATGCATTAAGCAGGAAAAAGTTTATAAACAGCAAGTGCGAAGTGTAATAGAGAAGTAAGCAATATAGTATGTTATATGCTAGAACTGTGATAGAGAAAATAAAAGTAGAAAAGCGTATTGGGGATAGAGAATTCAGGACAGAGAAAAGGTGGAGGTAGTATTGAACTGTTGATCAGAGATAACTATCCGGGAAGAGATTTGAAGGAGGTGAGTGTTTAGCTGAGCAGGATGAAAAGCCAGGGCAGAACTCGAGGTGAGCACACCCTGACATGAGCTGGTGCTAACTCCAAGTTCTTTCCATTCCTTTGTTTTGGTGAATGATTTTCCTTGTAAAGGAAAGGAGTCTTTTAGGAAAGACTCAGGAAAACTTTTCTGAGTGAGTGGATTGGGCATTGTCCAGGGCAAGGAGAGCCTGGGGGTTGGGGGTAGATTATAAGTTGAACAAATGGTAGCAGATGGAGTGTTTATCACCTGTGAGAGGGGGCCTCCAGCACACGCCTGACCCTCCCCCCACCCCACGGGAGAGCCCCAGTCCTTGGTTGGGTGCTCTACTGTTGCATCCTAAAATTTTTTAATACTTTTGAGATAGGGACCCCACATTCTATTTTGTGTTAGTTCCCACAGATTTATTGCTGGTCCAGCTGGGAGATATTATGTAGTGCTTAGTTAAAAAATATGTATATGCCTGATTTATTTATATAAGCTTGGTTTATTATATATACATACATATATATATATATATATACACACACATAAGCTTATATATCCATGTAAACCTGATTTATAATAAAATCAGGGTATACACACACACACAGACACACACACACACAAGACACACACACATACATACATACATACATACATACATACATACATACTGTTCATCTCTCTTAATGGGCCCAATGAGTGAGCCATTTGTTTTCTATTCTCATTTTAGATGTAAGAAAACCAAAGCTTAATGCATTTAAGCATCTCAGCTTAGGCCCCAGAGCTGAGTGGTATCATGACCAGGGTTCGAATCCAGCAATATTGCCATATTGCTGTAGAATGGAAGAATCTCAATTTATAAGAAGTATCTAAGTGAGAAGAAAATGGGAGAGGAGACGGGGTATTGACACTGCCCAAGAGCAGCTAATGTTTAACTGAGGCTAACAATGGCCACCTCCATACCTTCTTAGCATGACCACTTCTAAACACTCCATTTAAGCAAACCTGTCACACATCAGACTTGAAAAAGTAGAGGAATGTTCCAGTTGCTGAAGACTGGGATTCTAATGCCTCTCAGATACCTTCTGTGATCCATCCCATCAGAGACAATGTTTATTCTCTTTTAGGTAAACTTCTTGATCCAGAGAGACAAAGGCTTACAGGAGAGAGGTTTAAAGTCTACAGAATAATGAAGGATAGAGCATGTAGATAGGGCAGTTGTGAACTTGTCATTAGATAACACATTAGTAAAGCCATGGGCTTTCTCTTGAAGCCCTGGAGGTTGAAAGAAGATTGGGAGGCTCATCTAGGTACTGTATCATTTAGTATTGTCAAATGTTTACTTCCTGGATATGTTTAGAAATTGCAACTCAAAGGCATCATCCAAAACTAGACAAGAGGCTGTTTTCACACGTGTATTCTTAGAGTCAAAGGGGTGGTGTGACAATGCTCTATTAAAACACAACATCTTAGCAGGGCACTGGTGGCTCACGCCATCTCAGAAGGCTGAGATCTGAAGATTGAGGTTTGAAGCCAGCCCAGGCAGGAAAGTCTGTGACATTCTTATCTCCAATAAACTATTCAGAAAAGACAGTGTGGCACTGTGGCTCAAGGGGTAAAATGCTAGCCTTGAGCAAAAGCAGCTCAGGGACAGTGCCCAGGCCCTGATTTCAAGCCCCAGTACTGGCACCAACAAACCCCATAAAACCCCCCAAAACCCCATAGCTCAACATCTTTCGAGTTTCTGTGGCCTTGGGTGAACATGGGGGAACTGGCGGTGATTGGCCATGGTGGATGGGAGTGGACAGTAGCTCTAGAGGGACACTATGGGTGATAAACCTTGTGATCTTGCTCACTCCTGATAGCCACACTTAGCCGCCTGGAAGATGATGATTTCTTTCAGTTTTTGCAATGATTATGTTCTTAAAAAATAAAAAAAGCAACCATAAGATAGTCTTTGCCAAGATGACAGTTGCGGTTCTGCTTGTATTAAATGTGCTGTCTGTATATACAACCAGTTATTTGTAACATACTTAGTAGTTATGCTGTTCACATTTATCTGATCATTTCTTAAATGGGAAATGGCTGATCTCAGATAGTGGTA